CAGAGCTGGAATTACTCAGTGCTATGGCAAGTAATCCTTGATATCATTGCTATAGAAATATTTATAGAATTAAATATTACTTTACGAACAATCTGTACGTAATCTACTAAGAAAAGATCAAATAATATCCCAGTATTGATAAAAACGTTTATTTGTTGAAATCGGTGACTTTCTCGGTCCCTATAACGCAAATGTCTGAATTGGAAATAAATGCCATACGTCTTTAAATAATCAGAGCTGGTGTAAAACTAAACTGGTGGATATAGCACACTAATTTCATAATATTGGACCAAAGCAGAGAAGCATATTAACTTCTCAGCATTTTAAATCATTAAAAGAATTACGAACAAACACTGACATTGTCTTGATAAAACCTGATGAAGAATCAGGCGTAGTTATCATGAATAAATATGAATATAAAAGTAAGATGTTATCCATCCTCAGTGATGAAAGTAAATTTATGCCTCATGTTGAATTTGGAGGTATTGGCAAACTAGAAGGATGGGTAACTTCGAACCTGGAAAAATTGTTACGCATGAATATTATCAATAAAGAGGAATTTAATTTTCTAAAACCTATGGGTTCCGAGTACCCTCATTTATATGGACTACCTAGAATTCACAAACCAAACATACCTTTACGTCCAATTTTATCAATGTGCAGATCACCTTCACGTAACCTGGCTAAATGGCTAGCAAAATTGTTGGACCCTATCAGAAGAAATCTATGTGAGTATTCTCTGAGGGATTATTTTGAACTGGTGGACCATTTAGGTGATATTAATATCAAGGAAAAGACAATGTGTTCATTTGATGTGAATTCCTTGTTTACAAATGTACCTTTGAAAAAAACTATTGATATATTATGTGATTACATATCTTTAAACAACCTTCAATCACGTGTCCCTGTAAAAATGCTTAGAGATTTACTATTATTATGTACTGACAAGGTTCAGTTCATTTTTGAAGGTAAATACTTTCGTCAGATTGATGTGGTTGCTATGGGTAGTCCGTCAGGATCATTATTAGTAGATGTGTTCATGGCACATGTTGAAAGTCTGGCGGATGACCTAACCGAAAACATGTCACTTTATAAGAGATATGTAGACGATATCTTAGTTGTTTGTAAAAGAAAAGAGGATATGTACTGTTTATTGAATGAATTTAACACTCTCCAAAACCATATCAGTCTCTCATGTGAAGACGATAAGAACGGTCAGCTCTCCTTCCTAGATATACTTGGGAGTAGACGAGAAGGTGGCTCAGTCAAACGATCCATTTTTAGAAAACCAACTTGGACAGGTCAATACCTTAGTTATTATAGTTATTGCCCCGTGCAATACAAACGTGGTTTGATAAGGAGCCTTTTCAGCAGGCTTGATCGTATTTGTACAAATGAGGCCATTGATGATGATGTTAAGTTGCTAAATAAATCATTAATATAAAATGGCTATCCTCTGAAATTCACAAATAGATGGAAAGTCCATGGTACAGTGAGACCTACTGTAGCCTCGGTAGAGAAAAAAACCTGTCTACATCACCTTATCATTCAGAGATGATTCAAATAGCCTTTTATTGAAACAAAGACTTAAATCAGCCATCAGTAAAACGTATTGTGCAGCAAAGGTCATTATCAAAGAAAGAACCAGGTGAATGCTTCATCCAAAACCTAAAGGACATGAAAACGATTGTCACATCCCACTGTGTTTACCAATTTAAATATATGTGTGGTCACATATACATACGGAGGAGTAATCGTGATCTCAACATTAGGGTGTGTGAACATGTACCAAAATGGCTGCAGAAACAAATACAATCAAATGACCCAATAAGAGTAGAGGATAAACATCCATCATCCTCTATTGCTAAACATATAATTGAAACACGTCACAAAATTGATCTAAACTCCGCCTTTGTGGTGTTGTACAGCAGTGTAAAAGGGTGCATACTAAGGTTTATTTAAGCCTTAGACATGCGAAAATTCAAACGGTGGAGAAGATTTGTTGCTCAGGTGGATGACTTGGATGGAGTTTCGTTCTCTGAGCTGGATAGTTTGGTCGTGGAGCTTTTATCGTTCTGCTGAACGACACCATCAGCACAAACTTCAGATAGAAGTGAAGTGTTCGGATTTCTCCATGTGCGTTTCACAGCTTGTTCTGTGCGCCTCGATGTTGATTGGTTCCTATTGACCTAAATTTGTCATCCGTTACTCCTTTGTTTCGGTTGTGTCTCCCATTGGTTTGATTTTCGTTCCTATATTTGTGCATACCTTTCCTGATTGCCTGATAAACTGGATCGATTCCCATGTCCTTGTTGATTGCTGATTGACCTGAGTGCCAGGCTTATAAAAATTCTCTAGTGTGTTTGGAATTTCCTCTGTCCAATATTTTCAAATTTTTTCAATCGAACTGACCAGCAAGCATTGATGGTGAGGGCGATAACTTCAATCCACCCGTGTTTGTGGGGACAGAAAATTTTGTATGTATCAGGCTCTTTATAATTAAGAATAAGACAGTCAGTCTAAGATATAGAGTGTCTTCCTACGCTCACCACTCAGACTCATGCTTCCAATATTATGCTGGATTAGCTATTCTACTAAGACAACCTATAACATGCTAACTCGGACTTTTACACAAGGATGGTGTGGCTGGCATAGGATAGACAAAAAAAGGAAAAGAATTAGATAACAAAAGACATAGTCATTAGTATCCTTAACACTTCACCCTCTATATACACACCCTTCTAATAAACCGCTTCCCTTGTACCAACCTTGACTTCCCTTCCTTCATGTGAGCTTACTCCAACTTGTTAAACATCACAACTCATTGTTCTTCATTAGTACATTCTCTAATATGGAGCCTCCGACTTCACTTCACTCTAACAAGACATTATATGAATTTATTCTAATTTATTATACCCCTGTCCGTTTTACTACACAATGTTAAGCAACGTTTGGCGTTCATACCCAAGTGCCTTGCTGCTCTTCTGTTTCTCTTTTTTTCTCCCTCAGAATCTTGCTCTGAGAGCACAGCTATGAAACTTCTGACGTTTGGAGCAAACTTGACGTACGCGTCCTCTCAAGGTCATAGTTTACAGCAAGCGCTCTACGATTTCACTTTATAACAACTATAAACTTAAGTTGGGAAGCATTTTGCGAACCAACAAATGTTGTAATTTATAGATAATGCCTGTAAAAACGGTGTGTACCTGCACATGCAGAAATATATATTATTATTATTTTACACTTTGAAAACCTTAAGAAAGAGGTTTCTTTAACTGTCTTGGCGACGCTCGTTTATTTCCATTTCTGCAGCTCGTCTCTTAATACAATCAGCTAGGTTGAGATCCTCACGGACGTATATTCCCGATCCAATCAGATTAAGTGAGTTGCCTAGAATCAAGTTTCTTTCTTCAGCAGTGGCAAATGTAACCTTCAACAGGCGGTTTTACTGAGGACTTTCAGAAACTAACTTTTGTCTTATTCTATAAAGCTATGTTAACTCCTGTAACTGCTTCAGGGAGTAGCCTGCTTATTAAAGATTTAATATAACTGAGGTCGTGTTCAAACCTAGCCTATGGTTCCTTATCGGAAGATTCTTTTGACTTGTGAAACAAGACTGACCTCTCAGCGAGGTCTGTCTTGACACGCTGTGGAATTGCAGTTACCAAAACGTCTCTTCCTTGCACTTCGATTTCAATTCAGCGTTAAACGCAGAGGTTACGTTCTGTTTTCTTACTTTCCTTTTCCTAGGTGTGACTGTGAGTCACTCATCCACCTTATTTTTGTCTCCTGATCACTTCCTCTGCACTGCTCAGACTTTGCTCCCCCATAGTTTGTATTACATTGGTATGTAAATCCGGAACTGAGCTCGTATATTCACATGCCTCAGAACTGTCTATAGGTAGTTTCTTCTCAGTGCGCTTTTTTCTCCTTGTAACAATGCCTAGATCAATATGCATATCCGTTTTCCTGATGAGGCCCACCTTTATGGTCTCATTTTAGTCTAGAGTCGGGCTCATAATAACGCTCTCGATTTCCTTAAAAGCAGAGTCCTGATCATCTGCTGCTGCCTGTTTATCAGAGGGCGATTTCTTAGCTTTTTTGAGCAGCTCGATCGCCTCTAGCATCAGCAGAGATTTAGTAGAACAACATTCTTTGAACAAACAAAATGATAATGGCTTGCATCACCATTTAAATGCAGCCGGTGTGAGTCAATTGCACACAGTGTGGTACCAATTATTGCAGCTATCACATTGAATCCATACGACTATGTTGAAGATGCCATATGTATTCGGAGTTTGACAACGCTTTATTCGGTAAAACATTTTAATATGAAGCATACCCACCAAGTGAAATCAAAAAACAGAAGAGAGGAGTTTCGAAGATTTATTTGATAGGCTATCAATATATCGAGAATCGTCTGATCTAATCTGGTTAGAGATTGCAGGAGTTGTTGAGCACGGCGTTCCCACTTGTGATCTGGTGCAGATGCATGGCCGAGCACATTCATCTAGGTGAGTCCATTAAAAGTAATGTGTTCAACATCCAATGTCGAAAACTTACAGAGCAATTTATTTACATCTACAATGTCTCAAAAGCACCATAGAAGTTTTTATGTTTCTGTATAAAAAAATAAAGATATCATAAAAAATCAGAAAACAGGAGTTACAGAAAGATTTTAACAAATATGGATACAAACAATGCTCAAAGATATATTCAACAACGAAGTACCGGTGACTTGAATTTTCAATATCTGAACTTGCTAAGTACAAATGACAAACTTATCTAGAGCAAAAACCGGACTTTTGAGAATTTATTTTATTGAAAGAATTAAATAAGAGCAAAAACAGTAGTTTCGATGCGTAATTTACCGATCAATTTTATAAAAACTATTCATTTTTTGAATAGCGCGCTTCATTGTTGATGTATTCAAACAAGATTTCACCTACATAGTGTTAAACGTTATTATGGGTGGTAGATTTCCTATCTTTGTTGCTGAAGTCTGAACCTATATAAGTTCAACTGAAATCTGAAACCTCATGCATTTCAAAACACGGGTCAAAAGCGCATAATTGACGCTCAAGGTCATGACTTCAATTTACCACTCTTTGAAGTCCATTATTTTAGATTTCTTTGGTCGAGGTAAATCTATTCGTCATTGTATAACACATTCAGTCAAACCTCTTGTTTTAGCTGCAGATACAGCAGCGTTATGCCGTTCCCCTTTTTTTGGACCACTTAAATTATGGGAAGACTCAATTTACTTCGCTGTGCCTAAGAAACGTAGATCTGCAGAAGTACGGCGAGTACGAAAATTTCTTTCCCGTAGGTTTCCTTTGTCGTTTTACATGACATTTGTAGTGAGATCTGGAGATTACAAACCTAGAGACGATTTGACACCATGTAAATTCTGTGGTTACCTAAACCCTCGAAACTTTCTATGCAGTAAGTTGTGTGATGAGTTGTTATTCTTTCATTGCCTTAAAAACTTATATGTTTTCCTTACGCATATCCGTCCACATTCAAACATTTTCCAAGCTTCCAATTTTGGGGAAAATTTGGCACATTTTGGGGAAGCCGCTATAGTAAATCTTGCGGAAATGGCACAAAAACCCAAAAATTTCGCCAGACGTAGTGAAATCGCCGAAATTCCCCCTTAACCTTGGTCAGAGTCATTTGACTTTAAAGATTTCGCAAAATTTCCCCATAATTCCCCGAAATTACCACAAAGTTCCCCAATTATTGGTGAAGGTCATTTGACTTCCGGAGTTTCCCCAAAATTGGAAGCTCGAATTGGTGACGTCCGAGGTAATAAATCTGATATTAGTTGCTAAACAAAAATTCCAGAGTTCTTACTGGTTTTGGATTTTCTCCCAGAATTCGCCCAAAATTCTTCGAGGTCCATAATCCTTGACAATTACTTTTACTGACTTTACGGCGAGACTAATATAGACGGACCTTGAATAAATCTTAGGTGACCTGGACAATTGTTAGACAATCAGAAAACAGTATAAAGTAAAAATATATTGTAACAAACTAATGAATTACAGTGGATATTCTTCTTTTACATGATTTAAAAACTTGTTAAGGTTTGATAAAAGTACATATGTTCTGAAATCATATTGCATACGATATAGGAACTCGTCCATATGGCTCCATAATAGTCGTCCTTTGGAGCCGTGGTACGGTCTTAAAAATTCCTTCAATCTCGACCACATGGCTTCAATGTTGTTAGTATGAATGCCGGTAGTAGGGTCGACAGAAAGGCGTTTATGCACTACGACATGATAGACATACCTAAGTCTATGAAGGCATCTATACGCTCTCCAATCATCTGTGTATATTGTAGTGCCAGGCTGCACATATTCCTTTATAATTGGTATTATTGTGCTTGCTTGACGGTTTATCGCCCTCTGGAAATGCCTCTTTTGCGTTGAGCGATCATAAATTCCACTTACCTGTCCAGTACATTTACGGAAGTGCTACTTACCCAATCTTCCTTGATAGTACGTCCCCTGTTGTATTTTCGCTGTCGCACTACTGTTTCATCCATTTCCACAATACTCCCGACTCCTCCGAATGATTCGTGTAGACGTTACTTTAAGTGCACACATATCACGACAATACTCATACCACTGGATGGCCTAACTAAGACTCGTGAACTGCAAACACGAGAGAATCAAGCTGGCTTTAGACCTGGTCGTGGCTGCATCGACCACATATTCACTATTCGTCAGGTTCTAGAACATAGGCATACTTATCGGCGTCCGACAATGGTGGTCTTCCTTGACTTATAAGCGGCATTTGACTCTGTAGACCGCGAGATTCTGTAGGAATGTTTGTCATTGAAAAGTGTACCTCGGAAGTACATAAACCTTGTAAAGGCTCTTTACTCGAACACTACTAGTCGAGTCAGAGCTTATGGCGAACTGTCATCTACTTTTGCAACCTCAAGTGGTGTCCGTCAAGGCTGTCCACTTTCCCCAGTTTTGTTTAACTTCATCATAGATCTACTGATGGAAATAACTTTCTCGTCGACTGAGTTCTCGGGTATTGATTTCCATCCAGGAGGTCCATTTGTCGACTTAGAATACGCAGATGACATAGTCCTGTTTGGTGAAGACGTTGACAAAATGCAGTCTTCTGGTAGCACTGAGCAACAATGCCAGAATGTTTGGAATGCGCTTCTCTCCCTCTAAATGCAAGTTGTTGCTTCAGGACTGGTCTGCGTTAACACCTGAACTAAGGATAGGGAGTGAAGTAGTCGAACGCGTTGACAACTTCACATATCTTGGAAGTTTGATCAGCCCTAATGGGTTGGTATCGGACGAAATCTCAGCACGGATTCGGAAAGCTCGTTTGGTTTTTGCCAACTTACGTCACCTGTGGCGAAGGCGAGATATCCGTCTATCAATAAAAGGACGAATATACTGCGCGGCAGTCCGTTCTGTTTTAATTTACGGCAGCGAAACATGGCCATTAAGAGTAGAAGACACTCGTAAGCGACTAGTATTTGACCACAGATGCCTTAGAAATATTGCTGGCGTCTGCTGGGATCACCGGGTAAGTAATAGTGAGGTTAGACGCAGGGTATTAGGAAATGATGGTAAATCAGTTGATGAGGTTATGAATCTTCATCGACTGAGATGGTTGGGCCACGTGTTACGTATGCCTGAACACCGATTACCACGACGTGCAATGCTAAACGGTGTTGGGGATGGTTGGAAAAAAGTCAGGAAAGGCGAAAATAAAACGTGTCATCAGTGCTTGAAGTCACTAACTTCTAGTCTGAGCCATGTTGGTAGATGCAGACTACTTGGTTGGGGTCCGCGTGACTATGGTAACCAATGGTTGGAGACTCTTGGTGACATGGCTCAGAATCGATCACAATGGTGTCGGTGTATACACTCCCTGTCTTCCCTTAAACTAAGAGATTAAAATCGCTTCATACCTTTCTTTCTACGAACCAATTTTTCCTTCTTGTACTATATCTGTATATGCAATCTTTCTCTTATATATTAGCACCTTTGACATAACCATTGCTATGAATCCGGTGTTCATCTTGTTGTGCTGATGCGGTATGGCAACCTGGACCGATGCACATATGTGCCTGGTCCGACGTTGTAGCTGACTGACTGACGGACGGCTGAATTCTCGGTAACATCTGCAAACGCCGCAGCCAGTGTTACTGGTGACTTTATAATCCAATTTGCAACTATTATCATGATTTGCCTCAGTCGCGATCGAAAGAAGAAAGTCCCCGTTCGAGCAGACTTTTTTCTCCAACATAAAGAACAACAAAATACAATCTCATCACGATAGTCTGCACACTGTACTGCAGTCATTTGATAACCGCAGTCACAGGAACTTCTTAGTAGTCTCATCTCTTGTAGCTTCTAATTGGCTCGTCCATAAATTAGGCGAGACTCTAATTTATGGACGAGGTTTTGAAATGGCTAAAAAAGAACCAGTGGTGTTCTTCTAAGCTGAATTGTTTGATCATGAAGCTCTCATTGTCCTTCTGGACAGCATTCAGGAGAATACTGTTTACTAAAAGCGCTTTGCTTAGGGCATATAGCATAAAATGTACATTACTTTGCTTCATATGATGGACAGTCAGCAACGTAGAACTTCGTACGTATGTACATCAGTTCGCGTTGCCATACCGCATTAACACAGATACAATTGTCAATTCAAATCCCGTAGTGGTAGAGGTAGTAAAAGTATAAGCAGTGATCGGAAAGATTAGGGTTTGAAGATGTTATTCAAGGAGTATAATCCAGTGAAACAAATTTAGAAAGAGAAAAAAGGGACATGAAGAATCCAGAAGATTAGAATTTGTGAGAACACAAAGTGGATGCACCTGCACCATTGCAAACGATCTTGAACCATGTTATTCAAGGTCTCCAACCGTCGGTTGCTATCGTCTCGTGGATCCGAAGCAGGTAGTGTACACCTAACAACATGGCTCAATCCACTTGTCAATGACTTTATGCATTTGTGCCATGTTCTGGTCTGGTTGCCCCTAGTTTTCTTTGAACCTACTCCCGCACCAGAAAACATCGCACGTCCGGGCACTCGGTGGTCGGACATGCGTAATACATACCACCCATCTCAACTGATGAAGTTTCACCATTATTGATTTGCCATCCTTATCTAGTACTCGTTTCCTAACAACTACATTACTTACTCGATTGTCCCAGGATATACAAGCAATACTTCGAGGACGCCTATGATCGAATACTAGTAATCTATGAATATCCTCTACTCTTACCGGCCATGTTTCACAGCCATAAAGTAGAACGAAACAAACTGATGCGCAGTAAACCCGTTCTTTGGTTGGTAGACGGATATCTCGCCTACGTTATAAATGACGTGAGTTGGCCAAAGCTAGTCGAGCCTTCTGTATCCGTGCGGGCTCCAAATGATTTATAACACCAGGATCGACTTTTATTCACATTCATTAGGTTAGTTTTCTACTACTGTAAAATCTTTACCGAGAGGTAAAAGAATACTGTTTCTCTCTTGTTTTTGACTTAACGTTTTAGCCAACTGTTATAGTAAAGTACGTGAGGAAACTAACTTTTTACGTTCCCTTATCAATGGTCAACTTCCAAGTGATCACGAAGTGAAATTTATTTATAATGATGATAACAGCACTAATGAATCTGTTAGCAATGCAGAAGTCAAAGTCCCTGGTTCTAGACCGTCGTGGTTCCCATCTATTCCACAAGAAACAAAGTCTCCAGGTGGTGAGAATTCATAACGTTGTACATTAATTCATTATTTCTTGCGCTCCTAGATGACAGTTTATAAATACACAATCACACCTCCTATTGTTTTCTTGTTTGTACTGTTGCCTTATACACTATCTAAACATCCTAGTTAGATTTACCTTCTTCAATTACCCAGTATTAGTTTCTATGCTTATTGGCACACAATGCTGAAGTCAATTGATATTATGGTGATAAAATCACTTAATGATATTTAATTTCTAACTTATATACTTATTTCTGGGCAAAATACTTTGCTACCTTAATATTCAGAAGTTTATCAATAACGTATTACTTCTCGCAAACCATACTAGTTTCTATTTTTTTCGCGGTCGACATCCAGATCTGCACTTGATAGTTGAGATATAGGACGAGACACGCTCTGTGGGTTGCGTTGTTAGCCAAAATACTGAACTTCCTTTACCAACTTGGTGTCACCCATTGCCGCGTCTGTGCACCATCCAGTGGTTAACTGACCTATTACAATGTGTTGATACAGGGATGGGGTGGAGTATAAAATATGAAGTTTAGATATGGTCACTAGCCTTCTGTACAGCTATCGTAAGCTTTAAATATGAGTGATCATTTGATTTGTGTGCTTTAAAGTCTCAGCATAATATTGTAAAACAACACAAATAAGTAGTTAAGTAGAGTCCCTGTACTCGGCCTTATATAAGGGTTGGTGTCATTCTGCTGTCCAAACTGAAAAAGGGTTTAGACTTACACCGCAATAGTTGGCATTCTAGCTCTGGTTGTTACAATGTAGGTTCACAATGCTGAAATATGAGCATATTAACTTAACTCTCTGGGCAGATTTTAAATAATTAGTCACACCTCAGCTTGCTAGTGTTCACATCTCAAACCTGCTCCAAAACGTTTGACAGTCATGATAATCAGTTAATTAAATGTAGAAACAGCGAAATTCGAAGCTTCCGATCCAAAAGTTGTTGGAAATCATCTGAACTGTAGTTCACACGAGCATTGAACACAGTAGTCTCGGATTTTTCGCAAAATAAGGACTTTTCTTTTATTGTTTATCAAAGAAAGAAAGGATCTGGAGGTAGGTGGCTACTTTGGAGCTCTTATGTAGACTTCAACTGCTTAAACATAGAAACTACATGAATAAGAACTACTTCGGATTTAAAATAAATCCTGAGCACATTTGCAAGATAACTAACTTAAGGTTTACAGTAATTTGGTTTTAACGTGCGACTAGTTAACAAACTATAAATCGACTAAAACGTTAACTAGGCAACCCGAAGACCAGGGATTTCTTCCACTTATTGGTGCTGAGGGACTTGCATCAACGGCTGTGATTCACGACCAGTAAAAAAAGTAGAAGTAGGAGTTGCTATGACTTAATTACATCTGGAAAACGATAACCAATAGACTGCTGTACATGGTGTTATAACGTTCACGTTTCTTATCCAGAGCGAATGAGCAGCTATCAAACTTCATTTACGGCTGCTTTCAAATATTAAATGTTGAGGAGGATTGATACATTCAAGCAACCTCACTAAACTATTCTGCTGACTTCAGATAAACGTTTTCTATGAAATAATCGTTCTATAAACCTTTATCTGACTCCGATTATTGATCTCACTTAATTGTGCTTGTTTTCTCAGATATCCCATTTTGTAATAAGTTGATATAACAACGCGAACTGTGTTGAGTCATATTTTTATCCAATAAATGTAAATAGGCATACAAACTATCGGTAAAAAAGGCGAATGCTGATGAATCGTGTGGTATGTAGGCCCTAATTTGCAGCTAAATTGTGTGATATTTGGATTGATCAGGAAATCAATTACCACGTTAATTAATGGCTCAAGTTATGTAACTATCTATTTAAAGCAGTAAATGGACAGGCACACATCTAAGAAATTTACAACTATAGGTCATAACTAAGTATAAGAAAGCATTGTATAATTATTAGTAGGATAAAAATGACATCTAATGGACACATGATTGTCTGATCCTGTGTTTCTCCAAACAGGAATGGATTCGCGTAGCAATCAAAAATGAGAGGTTACTACACCTCTATTAAAAACGTCTGGAGAATCGAAAGGAAATATTTAAGCAATACATCCATTAGCTTTTAATAGGTTCGGTGATGCTCAAACAATCAAGCGTCAGGATATGCTGCAGTTGCGCCTCTAGTTTTTCACAAGTTTATCAATGACTCAACTTCTGTCCAGTTACTCATCAGAATTGGACAGGTAAATCTCCTGACATAGCGAGATATTGATTTACTGTCATTCATGTTCAGCCTTTTCGATCAAATTGTCAACCTAAGTGCCAATGATGAAAGCAAATATTTCAACGGGGAAATTGTACTTTCCTTTTGACAATCTCATTTTCTAAAGCTATATATACTTTAAATAATTAGTATGACGAACGCGTTCGGTAGTTGACTGTGAATGTATACAATGAGTGAAGTTTGTGATATGTAAAACATATTATTTATGAATAAGTAAATGAAGTTCAGACTGACATATACTAAATTTTAAAGTCACAACTACAAGATGAGGAGTTCTAATGGAATGAAGGTCACCATAAATAAGAGTAAGAACTGATTGAAGGTGGCCATATAACAATAATACAATGATTGTTAGTGAAATATATTTAAATGTAAAAAGTCACAAATAGATAACTATAAAATAATAATAAGGAGGGTCACAAACATTAGTTGCTGAACACTACGAATACCGATTTTAAAAAAATTAGTTACAAAACGTCGGCAATTTAGAAGTAGAAAAACAAGCTATAACTTTAGATCTGTACACCTTTGTGATATATATTCGGAAATCATAGATGTTAGTTTCTAATGTACGCTAGGTGACCGGTCTGTAGAATTGAACAGGCGAGGTATGTTTCCGTCTTATTTCAAAGCTGCCTCTATCAGCTTATTTTAACACATTTTTGCAAAAACTAAAGTTCATTTTTTCCTTTTATTTTAATCAGCGCTAACAAGAATATGTAAGTACTTTTAGTGACCCAGAAACGCGCAGCAACGTTTGACGCATAGCTAAAAATGCTGAAGTCTATCAAAACTGGCTCTCCTTACTAGAATTTAATTTTTATAAAGCTTTATATTGGCAAAGAAATAAATCAATTGAATTTTGATATGTTATTTCAGCTAGTTCTTCCTCGCTTACTCCTTTCACAGCAGAAACAACTTCCAGAACTTGGACAAGGTTAGCAGGTTCGTTGCGTCCTTTGACCATGTAGGATTCATCCCACGAATTATGCTTGCGATAAGTGTGGTGTGTCTTAACAAAACGATATCCTAGGAAGGGAAAAAATCATATCAGTTCTACACTACCTGCATGAGTTCTTCTAATATCACACCAAGGAGCGTCTGTTTCTAATAACAGCCGATCAAGCGGGATTTTCTGCACAACCTGCAAAGACAAAAGATTGAAATATACTCGACTACTATTACTAGCATCTATACAAATAATGCGACTCATTCTTCTTTAGGCATTAGGTTTTATCAGTACCTTTTTGGTGACTTCCGTCACTTGGAAATATAAATATAAAACATCCCTAAAGAAGTCACACCCAGTTCATCTGAACAACATAACTATGGAAACAGTAGCAGGTTACTGGTAAAAGCTGTCAGTTTTACCAACTGGGAGATAGTTAACACTTTATTGTTTGCTAGGTGACTGGAAAGTAAAGGACCTTCCACAACAGTCTTATCAGCGCTTCGTAGGCAGAGTGTAATCTTGAAACCATTTAGTTCGTTTTACAGTTAACCAGTTTTGTAGTAAGCATGCCAGTTACCCAGGGTTCTTTTTAAAAAAATTATTACTAACTACTGACGGCGCCTAACACGTGAGTGCAATTAAGCCCATGAAGTCAAAGATGCCTTATGTCCATCAAACGCCAAGAGTGAAAAATATTAGTGCTATCGGTTGTTGGCAGAATTGAAATTATTTTATTTTGTAGCTTTTAATCGGCTGCGAACAGATTAAAATTAAAACTCAGAATAATTTTATAGAATACAGTTTAACTTCGAGACATTGATAACCTAATTTGCGACAGTAAAAAAGTAATCTAATATTAAGTAAATATTACAAACATAGACATCTATAGTAACTATATCATCAAAAAATGACGAGTAGGAGGTTCGAGAGTTCGGTAATACATCGTTTATCCTATAACTAATGTTCAGTAAGTCAGTCAACTACAATGTAGGACCAAACACATATGTGCATCGGTCCAATTTGCCACACCTCATTAGCACAACAAGATGAACACTAAATTCACAGTAGTTCCTTCAATGTTTGTAATACATAAAAGAAAGATTGCATATAAGGATACAGTACAAGAAGAGAGAATTAGTTCGTAGAAATAAAGCAATTTTAATCTCACAGTTTAACGGAAGACAAAGAGTGTATACACCTACACCGTTGTGATCGATTCTGAGCCATGTCACCAAGAGTCTCCAACCATTGGTTACGACAGTCGCGCAGACCCCAACCAAGTAGTCTGCATCTACCAACAAGGCTCAGACTAGAAGTTAGTGACTTCAAGGACTGATAACACGTTTCGGTTTGGTCGCCCTAACTTTCTTCGAACCGTCTCCAACACTAGTCAGCATTGCGGGTCGTGGTAATTGGTGTTCAGGCATACACAACACGTGGCCCAGTCATCTCAATTGATGAAGATTCACAACCTCATCAACTGACTTACCATCATTACCTAGTACCTTGCGTCTAACTTGACTATTACTTATCCGGTGACCCATGAGATGCTGGGAATATTTCTAATACATCTGTGATCAAATACTAGTAACCCACGAGTATCTTCTACTCTTAATGGCCACTTTCTGCAGTCATAATGTAGAACAGAAGGAACTGCGTGCAATATACTCGTCCTTTAATTGATAGACGGATATCTTGCTTTCGCCATAGGTGACGTAAGTTGGCGGAAGCCAAACGAGCTTTTCGAATCCGTGCTGAGATTTCGCCAGACACAGACCCATTAGTGCTGATCAGACTTCCAAGATAAGTCACGAAAGACTACCATTGTCGGACGCCGATAAGTATGCCTATGTTCTAGAACCTGACGAATGGTAAATATGTGGTCGATGCAGCCACGACCAGGTCTGAAGCCAGTCTGATTTTCTCGTGTCTGCAGTTCACAAGTCTTAGTTAGGCGCCCGATAATTATTGAGGCCAGTATTTTAGATGCTATATTAGTCAAACTAATCCCTCTATAGCTGTCACAGGATGATTTTGAGCCTTTTTATACATTGCGACCAGTGAGATGGGATTACGTCCAACCCCCAGATTTTGGCTAAAATGTTATTCAACCTAATCGCTAAAACTGGGTCACCATACTTAAAGACCTTTGGAGCCAATCCATTTGGACCAGCTTCCCTTCCTCATTTCAGATTAGCTATAGCTTTTTGAACTACTTCAATGTTCCATTCATGCTGTTTGGGAATGGTGGGTAGTTGTAGAGTAAACGGAGTAAAAACTACTGATCACCATCAGAAACAAAATGTAAGTATATAGCAATAGTATGCAAATGAAGTTCTATGTGATACATATTTTGACATCTTACTTCCAAATTACTTTGGTTCTTCAGACTGCAACCGTTGACACCAATATACAATCCCATATCAGTGAAACATTTGACCATTTCGTCTGTTCCATCAAATGAGTGCACAACACCTCGAAAAGGCTTGCCTTGAAAATATGACTGCTTAGCATTTTTGATCATTTGTAGAAAGTCTTCATGTGCAGCTCGACAATGCAAAAACAGAGGTAACTTAACATCACTAGCTAACTTAAGTTGAATTTCAAAATATTCTTTCTGGATATCTTTTGGACAAAACTCTTCACTGTAAACTGAAGTAAGAAAGCATTTGTAACTACCGGTCATAATCGAGACCACATTCACCTACAGCTACTACTTTTTTCGTCGTCAAAATTAGGTTTTCCAGTTTATTCAGGTAGTTATCTGGATCCTCGTGAAACTCCAAACATCTTGTAGGATGGCATCCAACTGTACAAAAGAGGTCCTTATCAGATTTACATAGGGATATAGCCTCAGCACTATCAGTGAGTGACCCTGGTTCCAGTTGATCGGAAACGTCAATAATCTAACCTCCAGTTATAATTATTTTCTCCACACCACATTTCCTGGCTCGACATAAAACATTATGATAATCATTTTTATGCTGGAGTACGCCGCGGTAAACACCCATGAAGACTTTGTCAGTAAGATTAGCACCGATATCAACAAGCCGTCTCATAGAAATATAGACAATCGGTATTAGACCGTTTGAAAACTACGATTTGGAGTTTGAAAAACAAAAATTTGTAAATGATTACTTTAACGCAATTAGATATTTGGTGAAAAACACCACACTAAACAGTCCTCACAATGAAGTCCAATAAATTTCAGATGAGGGGTTGGATTCAATCCAAGGTCGACCTGGCGAAAATGTAAACTGAACAATATCCACACCTATGGTGGAAACTCGGCTCTATCTAAGCGATCTCGAGTCACTGACTGGTTGGAAATTGATTGCTACCACCAAATACGAATATTGAGGCAGTTTTTCTGAAACAATGTGCACCATTCAGTCTTCAGTAATAAGGATAGGAGGTCTGTCGACCTATATTAATCCTTGCAGTTTGTAATACTGTGGAGGTCCAATCTCGTTTTGAATATATTAACAGATGGAGCTGATATTACGTGTTCCGGTAGAGAATTCCAGTAATTCACTACTCGGTGCGAGAAACGGAACTCCAAACGTAAACGGTTTGATCTCGGTTTTTGAACTTTCTTCGAATGTCCTCTCAAATGATCAGTCCTAGACGGAAGCAAAAGATAAGACATGTTAATACCAAGGTCATCGTTCAGTATACGATAGGCCAATATTAGATCACCCCTTATTCTACGGTAAGATAACGGAAATAAGTTAAGGTGTCTCAGTCTGTCTTCATAAGATAGGCCAGATAGACCTTGTACCATCTTAGTAGCTCGTCGTTGGACTCTTTCTAGCATATCTGCTTCATATTTGAAACAAGGACACGCTGCTTGAATCCCGTATTCTAAATGTGGTCGCACATAAATCGGGTATAGTAATCTAAACATTTCATCATCTAAATACTGGAAAGACCTACGAATTGACCATAATACCCTATAGCCTTTCGCAGCAGCAGCCTTACAGTGACTAGTCGTTTTGAGATCATTGCTTAATATGACTCCTAAATCTTTATAGTTTCTTACTTTGGGTAGCACGAATCCACGTAGTGTATAGTCATACGATTCATCAGAGTTATTTAACTGCATCACTACACTCTTATTAGGATTTACTTCTAGTGACCACCTATCTAACCATGCCACCAATGAGCTAAGATCGTCCTGTAATACTATCCTATCCGACATGCTATGTATGGGTCTCCAAATCTTTATGTCATCAGCGAAGAGTAGAACGGATGATTTTGCTACAGTTGGCAATTCATTTACATAAAGTAAAAAGAGAAGAGGACCTAGGATTGTACCTTGGGGAACCCCACTTTTTACAGGTACCCACGAGGAGAGAGCCCCATTAACCCTTACCCTTTGTCTCCTGTCATGGAGAAAGTTACTTATCCAATCGACGACTGTATAATGGATTCCAAAACGTTTCAGCTTGAATTTAAGACCAGAGTGTGAAACCTTATCAAAGGCTTTACTTAGATCTATGAAAATTACATCCACAGGAGCATTCCGATCCTTTGCCGCAGCCCACTCTTCTCGTGCAATGAGAAGATTTGTCAAGCAAGATAGGCCTTTCCGAAAACCATGTTGTGCCCTGGAGAAAAGATTTTGCCCTTCAACATAGTTTATAACAGCTATCCGAATGATTTTCTCCATCAATTTCACAACTGCACTAGTTAAGCTAACGGGTCTATAGTTACTAACTAAATCCCTACTCCCAGCCTTATACACCGGACTTATTATGGCGTCTTTCCAGTCTCTAGGAAGTCTGGACTGTCTCAGAGACATGTCGAATAGTATCGCTAATGGTTCAGCAATTTCATCTGATATGGCTTTCATAATCCTAGGATGAATATCATCAGGACCACTGGACTTATCAGGTTTGAGATGCTGAAGTAGCCTTAAAACAGTATCTTTCTCAATGACTACAGGATCCATCAGCGAGCCGTCACGGTCGCGACGAATCACTGGTCGTTCCTCATTACTGATAGAAAACACTTTACTAAAGTATTCCGATAAGGCTTCAGCTTTTTCGGCATCAAACTGGCTGCCTTCAACGCCCTCACAATAATGCAGATCGGACAACAGATACGATTGGCTATGTATTTAGAAAGTCTTAATATCGATGTCTGCTGTCTATCCGAGACCCGTATTCAAGACTCTGGTGAAGTACTACAAATTCGCTCTCCATTTGTCGCTTCGAAAAGCTTGTTTTACGTGCGTTTATCCGAAGACCTGTGGAACCTTCGTCTGGTCTTGCTGGCGTTGGTGTTGCACTAAGCGCTAGAGCTGAGGCGGCACTAATCGATTGGATCCCCATTAACAGTTGGTTATATGCTGTTAGATTAGAGAGTTCCATCAAAGCGAGAAGAAATCGGTGTGAGAAACGATGTCTTTTCGTCATCTCCGCCTATGCCCCGACAGATTGCAGCCCGGATGCAATAAAGCATGAATTCTACCACCAATTAACTGTTCTTATCCAGAAAGTGCGTTCAACAGGTATTGTAGTACTAGCCGGAGACTTAAATGCTCAGGTCGGGCGTCTAGGCACAGAAGAGAATCGTTTAGGTGATCGACGGGGACTTGTTGGTCACAGGGCAGATAACGGCGACCGTCTACTGCAACTGTGCACAGACCACAACCTGTTTCTTGCTATCACTAACTTCTGGCATGTTCATCGCCAAAATGCCGCCTGGCGTCCTCCCTCTGCATCTCAAACCTGAACTCAGATTAGAATAATAATAATAATAATTTATTCACATCGAGATCTGCTATCGCTGGCGTGGTTGTGTACAAGACTGCCGCTCATTTTGGAGTACCTATCTGGACTCTGACCACGCCTTGATCTGCACCAATCTTGCCTTACTTTTCAGTGGACAACGAAGTGACCGCCACCAACGGATTGATATTAGCAAGCTGGTTGCAACTTCTGTTGCAAGTAAGTATTGAACCGAGCTAGCTTCTAGGCTAGCTACCATTCCACCGAAAAGTATAGATGAGCATTGGCTGCAATTGCATGGCGGGTACAATCAGTTGTGAGTTCGCGAAACGTCCCGCTTATAAGCACTGTGTTTCTTCAGGTTCCTTACAACTCATTGAAGCCCGTCGTTCAACTCCGGGTGACCGTGAGTTTGACCACAAACAAAGGATGTTACGCAATGAAATTAGGCAAAGCTTGCATAAGGACCGAGAAGCCTGGTGGTCGGAGTGTGCTAATGAGCTGGAAGCAGCAGCTGCACCTGGTAATTACCGAAAGCTCTTCCAATTCATCCGAGCCACTGGCAGCAGGAAGTCTGGTGTGAGCGAAATAATCTGCGAGGATGACGGAACGCCAATCACTAACATCCATCGACGTCTTGGACGATGGGCAGAAATTTTCGAAGGGCAGTTCAACTGGCCAACTGCCCCGGCACCATCGGTCAAACTGTCCTGCCCTCCATGGCCGGTGACGACAGATCCACTAAATGAGGCGGAATTCCGCAAGGAACTCCAACTCTTGAATCGCTACAAATCGCCTGGCCCAGATGACTTACCTCTGGCCCTTTTTAAAGATGGTGGTGACTTTCTGACCAAGGAGCTGACGACGTTGTTTACAAAAGTCTAGGAACTAGAGAGTGTTCCAACATCATGAAACGAGTCGATAGTTGTCCTTATCTTTAAAAGCGGTTCAGGTTGGCTTCCGTCATACTTCGTAAGTTGTTCAAAACTCGAGAAAGATTGACTCGCGAGGAGCAGGCTGGGTTTCGTTCTGGTCGAGGATGTATTGATCATATCTTCACCCTCCGCAAAATGTTGGAACACCGCTATACTTATCACAGGCCAACAATCGTAGTGTTTCTTGACATCAGGACTGCCTTCGATTCGTTGGACAGGAATGTTCTCTGGGATTGTCTATTGAAGAAGGGTGTGCCTGAGAAGTTTAATAACATCCTCAAAGCCCTATATACAAACACCTCAGGCAGAGTGAAGGCATTCAACCAACTGGCTCAATTGCTCCGTTCAACCGATGGGGTTAGACAGGGTTGCCCAATCTCACCATTCCTCTTTAACTTTGCTATCAGTGACATTCTATAAACAGCCTTGATGGATGTAAGCAATGACGGTGTGGACCTGTTGTCTGGAGAAAGACTCCTCGACCCTGAGTATGCGGACGATATTGTCTTACTGTGCGATAATGCCCAAGGCATGCAATCCGCACTTAATCAGTTGGGAATCAGTGTCCGTGGGTATGGCATGTGCTTTGCACCTTCGAGTTGCAAAATACTTTTACAAGACTGGCAAGACCCTGATCCTGCATTCACCATGAGCAGTGAGCAGAGAGACGTTCATGTATCTGAGTAGCTGTATAAGTGCTGATGGTGGCGTGAGTGATGAGATCGATTTACGTATAATGAAAGCCAGAGCGGCTTATGTCAATCTGGGCCATCTTTGGCGCCTTCGTGATGTTAGCAGGGTCGTAAAATGTCGGATCGACAACGCGTCGGTGAGAGCAGTTTTGCTCTATGCTTGTGAAACCTGGCCTCTCCGAGTTGAGGATTATAGACGACTCTGTGTTTGATCATCCCTGTCTCCGAAGGATTGCTGACACCCAGTGGCAACACCATGTTAGTAATGCAAAGATCCGGCATCGTGTGTTCGGTCACAATGACGATGATCCAGTTAGTCTCAATATCTTGAAACATCGACCTCGGTGGCTCGAGCATTTTCTACGAGTTTCGTTCCAGAGGATTCCTCGTCGTGCATCATTTGCTGACGTTGGGACTAATTGGAAAAAGCAGAGATGGTAAGTGTGTGGCTTGTCGTTTTATGAAAGAAAGCTATACAAGGATGGCTCCTGTTGGTCCTTCACGACTCCCTGGTAGGGGTCCTAAAGAAAGTGCAACACAGTGGCTAGAGACGTTATCAGATACGGCCCAGAACAGAAGCCAGTGGCAGTCATGCTGTAACCTTCTTTTACTTTCTTCATAAAAAGTGGTTGTATCTTGCTTAACTGAAAGAATTCTTTCTGGTTGTGCCTTTCCGTTCCCCCTACTATTATTATTA